TTTTTCTCTCCTCGGTCCAACGGCGCCAAGAGGAGGCTGGTTCTGAACCGGCAGCCTTTCTTTCACTTGTCATTATGTTTTACACACAAGGAGATTTTAATGTCTGAAGATGGGCGGTGATGAGAAGGAGGAGGCTACACGTGTTTTTTGGCAGCCTAGTCACCAGTACTTAAATTCACTTCTGACAGCGCTCGGAATCTAAAGCCCTGTAAGTACCAAGCTGTCATCTGCCTTTCCAGGAGAGACTTCGCCCTGGCGGTGTTTCAAAAGTAAAATCACTCACTTTTTATGCATATTTTCGCCACCACAATATTGCTCTAAGCCGTGTGAAAGACTGCATCTCGAGAGACGTATAAAAAGAGGTTTGCGGTACCGGGTTTTGCAAAAAAGGAAAATCGCCTTCGTTTCTGAACCCAGAAGGACAAAAATTCAGCCATTTGCCAAAATCTGGGATTAGGGCAAAAGAGGTGCATCTGAGGGTGGGGGGACTACAAAAGGCAGCTGAACGTGAGGATGTCTGAACTACTTTAACTGACGGTCCTGTTAGGACTTGGACGGCGGTCCCATTATGTAACAGCTGGCGTGCCTCAGCACTGCTCGGATCCAACGAGGAAGCCGAGGGAGGCAGCCTGTGCGAGCCTCTGCCAGAGCCTCTCGGTGTCAGGGACAGCGTGACAGTCAGAAGCGGACGGAAGTCCCACGGCTGCACCTGACCAGCCAAGTGACCCTGCGAGAGCCACTCCCCGCCTCTGATCTCAGTTTCCACCGCAAGTCAAGCAGAAGACAGGACCGCGCGGTGGGTGAGGGGAGGCCCAGAGTGACGGCCGCAGGGGCCTCCGCCCCTCCTGCTTCCCAGCCGCGGGCCCCCCTTAACCAGCTTTTCGCGTCCAGTCGTGCTCCCCTTGTCCGTGTAACAGACTAGGAGCCAGCGGTCAGGGAGAAAATGCGCAGGAAGGTTCTTGACACGTGGCCCACAACGCATGCTCGATAAATGAGTGGCTACTGCTCGCTGTTGCTGCTGGGACTACTGCTATCCTTGCAAACAACCACAGAAGTAACAGGTTGAGGAGTTAGCCATTCAGCAACGAAACTGCTTGCTGGCACCTGAGGTTTACGGCTCATCTGAGGTGAAGTGGGCTTCTCGCGGCCCCCGCTGCCTTCCCAGAGCCCAGAAGAGGGGCCGGGGCGCTGGAGGCGCTCACTGAATGTGTGTTAAGTGAACAAGCAAGTGGAGACATGAGTGGAGGAGGTAGACACGAGCAATCGTCTTAAGAGGGACTGGGGCACACCGGACCTGACGTCCTCCGGAAAACACCAGTGAGGGCCAGCAGCCAGCAACTGCCAAACAGGGCACAGAACAGGCACGGCAGACTCAGCCAGGTCTGCGGGCTTGGTGGGGATGTGACCCAGCCGTTCTGTGAGTGCGGGGCCTGCATTTACGGGGATGGAGCCACTCCACCACCAACTCCAACTCTGTGTGTCAGCCTCAAGGACTCAGGCCACTTGCCAGCTCCCGAAAGGGCTTGGGAGAACAGACTTCCTGGCAGTGTGAAAGAGCAGAGTGAGAAACTGAGGCAGACTCAACAGGGGCTGGCCACAGGCCAGCACCTTTGGAATATCTGCTTTCAAATGCCTCCGCCTACATCCGTCATCTGCTTGGAGAACTAGAAAACCACTGACTGCTTCCCAACAGAGCCTAACCCAAAGACAACGGTTCATTTGTCAGCCTTCTCCAAATTTGGTCATTCTGGGGCCACTTGTGGAACTATCGTACCCTTGGCACTATGTAAACTGTCATTAACTTAACCCTCGTGTCCAAATCAATGCACTAAAAAAAAAAAAAAAAAAAAAAAAAAAAAAAAAAAAAAAAAAAATTAAATGCAGTTATTTTTTTAATGAAATTTAAACCAATGTGTCAAACGAGAAACCACTACTGGTGGCCCTCCATGTGAGGGAACCATAAAAATAAACCCTTGGGAACAAAATATCGTAATTAAAACTGAGCTGGCCTCCATTGCTTTCCCCGGCTCCGGGTCTGAGGGCCGCTGTGTCTCTGATAGAAAGGGAGGCCGGCATGTGGTGGCATGAATGCTCGCCAGCCCTGAGCTAAGGCTTCCTCCTTCGGGCGTGTTGAAAGACTATAAACAAGAAGGAGAGGGAGGAGCGAGTTTCTCACGACGTGAGTCCATGTGTCGGAGCCACGTTCGCGCGCCAGGTAAGCTCACTGTACACGTGGATACGGTGGAACCTTCTCGCGCTCTCGATTCTCGGCCCCCTTGCGGTACTGGGTAACTGAGGCTGCACGTTCCCGGATGCAATTAAAACACGCTTTTTCGGGGGCGCCTGGGTGGCGCAGTCGGTTAAGCGTCCGACTTCAGCCAGGTCACGATCTCGCGGTCGTCCGTGAGTTCGAGCCCCGCGTCAGGCTCTGGGCTGATGGCTCAGAGCCTGGAGCCTGTTTCCGATTCTGTGTCTCCCTCTCTCTCTGCCCCTCCCCCGTTCATGCTCTGTCTCTCTCTGTCCCAAAAATAAATAAACGTTGAAAAAAAAAAAAAATTTTAAAACACGCTTTTCCTCGATCCCGAGACACACTGCCAAAATGTCTGTAATCAGGATGCATCCTACAATCGGCTGGCTTTTATTAGCCACTTTAACTAGTGCTTCAACAGTGTCTTTCCATTTTTATTGGGGGGAGCTGTTATTAAACTGAAGGCACATCTCATAATGAGGGTGACTCAAGAAGTCAAGAAAATATGGGACACCCTAACGGGGCCAATATAAATGAGCCTGCCGCCTGGATGCCAAGACAACACAACAGCCTTGTGCTTGCGTTCTCCCAATTGTGTTCATCTGATAAAGACATTACAATAGCAAGATATTATGATCTATAACCCTCCACTGAAACACTCACACATTCTTGGCCTTGAACGCTTGAGCAAAATGCTGCACACTACGGAGCAGAGCGAGGTCCAGGGTCATTGCTTCTACCTTGGCTTTGTGCTGGAATGAGAGAAAATAAAAAGAAATGATAAATAACAGCAAGTTTAGTTCATGGTATCAAGTTACAGTAAATGTGTTATGGAACATGTCGGAATTCCCCTGTTTAATATTAGACGCCCAGAGAGAATATAAATCATCGGAATGAATGGAAGAACAGGGCTTTTACTGCCAAGTTTGGGAGGATGTGAGGCTGGGAATCCGCTAAAACCACAGGCTAGGGATTGTGCTGTTTCACTCAGCGCACAGAAGACGCTCCAAAGGGTCTTCAGGCTCACACATCTCCTCTCCATCTGTGTCCTAAAAAAAAAAAAAAAACTATGAAAATAGGGGAACGCCAGGACAAAGCCTGGCTCGTGCAAGAATTCAGTAGATGACATTTTAATCTCAAAAGCTGCCATCGGGGCTCTGGAATGATTCCATCGAGGCTGCATCAGAAACTAAAGACGATTCATTCCTAGAAAATACAAAAGCAGGCAAAACTCATTTATTCCAGTGGACCCTGAGTGACTCAGGTCCTGAAGAGCCCTCTGGTTTAGCAACCCAGAAAACTACAGCTGGGTGGGCACATGCGGATAGTAAGAGTGGCTGCTGTCTCTCCAGGGCGGACTCTGCACCGGGCGTTACTTGCATCATCTCGTTTCTTCCCTGGAACAACAGAGTGGGTCACACTCTCCCCGTTTTACATGTGGCCCCTTGTAAGAGATCGCAGAGCTCACAAAGGTGGGGGGCAAGGGTTCACCACAGTCTGACGCCAAAGCCCTCGTTCCCTCTTTGCCGGAGACTAGAAGGCCTGGAGCCTCAGGATTTGAAGCAATCGTGCTCCACTAGACAGCATCCTAACACATCTCTGGAAAGCTCAGGGTTGCCTCTCAGCCTTCCCCAGTGTTTATGGGGCACTCCCCACTTGTGAGTCTGGCTGGGCTTCAGCGTAGGAGATTAAATATAACCACTTCTTTTTTCATAGTTTATTTATTTTTGAGGGGGGGGGGCGGAAAGAGAGAGAATCCCAAGCAGGCTCCACACTGTCACATGGATCCCGACGTGGGGCTCGAACTTGTGAACCGTGAGATAATGACCTGAGTCACAACCAAGAGTCAGATGTTTAACTGGCTGTGCCACCCAGGCACCCCTAAATACTATCACTTGTTAGACCTATCTCCTCCAAAGGATGCACAGCCAAGAATGTAGGGGCCACCTGCTCGTTCAGGTAAGGAAAGTCCCAGCAAACAAACGGTGAGCCTGGGAATTCTGGTCTAGACTATGCTGTTAGTGACAGTGAGACTAGTAGTGTAACAAGCTACTTCCGATGCTATGAATGGGGATGCGATGGCACAGTGGAGAACGTCCTCCACCTCAGCTGTCTTATCAGGGAGAGACACAATCTGTGCTGAGGTGCTTAGCGTATCTGTGCCCATTGATCTTGGCCGCCTAAGTCCTGGGCTGTAACCCAGCCTCGAACAATAAGCATCAGGCACGGGAAGCCGGGAGGCCAACTGACTTGGGGCCATTTAATATTCCTGAGGGATATTACAAATGAGTTTCCTCATTTGTAAAAGGTAAACATTAACTACCTTCTCACCGACTGGTGAGAAGAAGTATAAAGCACCTAACATCCAGCTTGGAAGACAGAAGGGATTTAATAAACTTTATGAGAAGGAGAGAAGACGTCTGCCGTGCCAAATTCCTTCCCTGACGCGAGTCTGCGACTAACGGTGGTGCGGGTGCACTCCAGTGCAGCGTGGTGGATGAAATGACGCTCACGAAGACCGCATGGGACCAGCTCGCTGTGACATCCTGGAGGATCCAGGTCACGTGTACTCACAGAGCCCAGTTTTAGGGAGATGGGTGTACGGTGATTAAATGACGTCCCCAAACCCAAAAGCACATAGGCAGCGAAAGCAAGCTGGCCAACGTAGATGTACGTTCCTGGGACAACAGTGGCAGAGGCACAAACATGCCGATTTGGGAAGGAGGAGGACAAGCATTTGACCTGAGCCAGGAAGAGGGAAGGTGCCAACGCGTGGGTGTTAAGAGTCTCCTAAGATCACTGGGGCGCCAGAGGGGCTCAGTCGGTTGGGTGTTCGACTTGATTCAGCTCAGGTCACGGTCTCGCGTTTTGTGAGCTCGAGCCCCACATCCACCGCCCCCTCAAAAATAAATAAACATTACACAAAAAGTTTCCTAAGATTAGAGAATGGTGGTGCTGGGGGATCCACAGTGATTGAGGCCACACCCCTTGTTCTATAGACAAGGAAAGCGCCAGCGGCAGGAATGGGCGCACACGAGTGAGGCTGTACCCTGTGGACAGCTTGGGCCTCCTGGCCAGGAGAAAAACCCCGCTCGCTTTCTGTCTACACAGCTGGTGTGTCTGATGACTGAAATCTCTTGGGAGAACCAAGCCTGACAATGGCTAGCTTTTATTCCCCATAGGTTCTTACGCTTCATAGATGCTGGACCACCCAATTGGACATTAACAGTTAGCAGATACAGTGGCCTTTCACCTCATCCGAACCCCTCTGGCTCCAGCCTCACCACTTAGAACATTCACTTAGAATCTTAGACAACTCTGAATGTATCACAAGAGGAAAGTCAAATATTCATTTTGTTGGGGAAGGGGTGGTGAGGAAGGACACTGTTCCTCTCAGCCAAGCCCCTTAGGGACACCCCAAGGGATGTGCAGGTAACGTCTCATAAAAATGCATATAAATATTTCCTTCATACAACAGGGGAAACATTCCCAGGTGGTGACCCCAAAGCAATATCCCAACAAAAATGATGGCTCAGCCGAGTGGGCCAGTATACCCTTCTGTGTGTGTAACTTACAACTGGTGAGTTATCTTTTGGTCCCCCCCCCCCCCAACCTCCACTCTAAAATAAAGTACAGAGCTGCCACTACCAATAAGAACAAAATCAGAACATACACACCCAGAGGGAACAAGGGGTCACAAGCCATCGAGTAGTTCAACAGACTAATCCACAGGCTGTGGGTTACTAGGCTCCTGGGGACAGTGATTCAAGTCCACACACTATTACTCAGGTAATTCTCCTGCCCCCGGCATCAGGTTTCCGGTTTCTGCTACTGACCCTGAGAAATGCAGACAAACTGCGGGCAATCCTGTAAGTTCAGGGAAGAGAAAGCACGTCTTGTAGAATTAGGGAGGGTGGATATGTTTGTGTGGGGGGTGGGGGGGTTGCTCTTCTGATTGTCCAACAAACCTAGCAACGTTATAGAAATGTTTTTCCGGGGACGTGCTCTAACGGGGAAGGCAGGGGCTGAGACACCGCAAACAGAACCCATTTCTGAGGCATAAACTGCTGATTGTTAGGTGAGGCGAGAGGCTCCATCTGCCAAGACGAGCTTTCTGCCAAGTTTGGACGTGAACCTGGGACTGACCACAATTCACGTTCTTGGTTTAACTCGTGAACTTTCTGTTGTTGTTGTTGTTGTTGTTGTTGTTGTTGTTGTTAACTTTGACTTGGAAATAGCTACGGACTGACAAGAAGCGGCAAAAATAGCACCAAGAGTGCCCACATAGCCATCTCCCAGCACCCCCAATGGGGCTGTCTTAGCCACGTCTATAGTACACGGGTACAACCGGAAAACCGACCGTGGCATGACACAGTTCGTTACAGCACAGACATCACCAGGATTTCACCAGTTTGGGGATGCACTCACTTTCTTTTATTGGGAATATCTTGGTGAATAATTCTATGACACTTGCTTCTCTGTATAGATTCATATAACAATCACCACATTCAAGACACAGAACTGTTCCACCACCACTAAGGAACCGGTGGGTTTTTTTTTTTTTTTTTTT